TTTGGGGCTTTCAAGTGCATTTGTTCTGAGAGCAGTCAGGAACACCAAGTGCTCTGTGTAGTAATTTTTGGAGAAATGTGGGGTTTTTTTCAGAGGAAGGAGAGCAGTGTTTCTGTACTGGTGAAAAGAGAAGCTTGGTGGAAGCTTTGGTTGCTTGGTAGCTGGGGTAACTGATTTATCCCTTAAAATGTGCTGTGTGGGACTTAGTTATAAATAAATTTTGAAACCAATTGGGATATCATTTATGTGTAAAAGATAATTTTAATTTGGCCAAATATCTTGGCAGATAGCTTGCTGCTAAAATCAGACCCCCTCAGATTTACCCACCGAAGTACTCAGGTGTAGGTGTTTTCAGCTTATAATCATTAAATGGAGTTTTCAGGAATTCAGAAGGCAAGTTCTGGTGTTCCCAGTTCAGGTGCAGGCAGTATCAGCTTTACCCCAGACTCAGGCAGCTGCACAACACGATGGACAAGTTGCAAATGATTCCTTCACAACAAGTGAGGAGTGACCTGGAGCCAAATCTCTGCTTTACACCCAAGATCTGCAAATTAGTTTCTTGTAGACTTGACAGTTCTGTGGTTGAGGACTTGAGGTTCTCTTACTACACAACCTGTGTGATGTGGAAGTGTGAAGTGTGTTATTTATTCTGGGTTTATTTTCACCTATTTCTGTGGGATAGCACAGAAAAGCTGTTAAAAGTGGACCAAAACTTCAGAGAAATTATAATTAGGAGGGGGTTTAACCAGATGTTGTAAGCTCAGGATCTCCTATAGTTTAGTAGTGACCAAAGCAAAGGATGGATAATCTAAAGTTCTGTAGATAAAGTGAGACTTCTACATTTAGCAGTAATTTAGAACACCTACACTCAAAATTTGTCAGGCACCTGTCTGTTATGTAAGTAACTGGTGACTGTGGTGGGTGATGGGGGTTTGCTGATGAAAAGCCTGGGGAGGAGCAGGGATGGGGAAAGTTGTGGTGTTGGGAAAGGTGCTGTGGGCAGAGTGGGAGCAGAGCCTGACAAGGACAGGCAGATTTCTGAATCCAGATTGGCTCCTGTGTCTGCAGTTTTAAAGAGAACACTTCTGATGTTTCTGATCCAGGACTCTGAACAGGCTGTTATCCTTCAGGACCACTGGGGAGGGTCTCATCCTGCTCTTAATTCTCACTGGGAGTCTCGTTGTGGGTCTTGGGTGTTTACACAGGATGTTGAGTACAGCTGAACATTGCTGCCTGGGCCTGTTTCTTATTATGAACATCTCTCTTCAGGAAGCCACGTGGGACCTTCTCACTGTGGGAAGTCAGGAGCCAGCTAAGGTCAGCAGGGCAAGGTCATGGGGAGCTTGCCAAAACACTGGCATGAACACAATCTGGGCACAAGCAAGTCCTTTACATTTTGGAGTAGGAAATGGGCTGAATTCAGGAGAGTGTGGCCAGCAGGTCGAGGGAGGTTCTCCTCCCCCTCTACACCACCCCAGTGAAGCCAAATCTGGAGCATCTGGTCCAGTTCTGGGATTCACGGTT